TGAATCCACACAGTTGTTGTTGTTGTTATTGTTAGGTGCTGTGGAGTTGTCTCCAACTCATAACAACCCTATGTACAAAAGAATAAAACACTACCCAGTCCTACGCCAGCCCCACGATCCCTGCTATGCCTGAGCCCATCATTGCAGTCACTGTGTCCATCCATCTTGTTGAAAGCCTTCCCCTTTTCCACTGACCCTCCACTTTACCAAGCATGATATCCTTCTGCAGGGAATGGTCCCTTCTGACAACATGACCAAAGCAGGTGAGACGAAGTCTGACCATTCTCACTTCCAAGGAGAATTCCGGTTGTACTTCTTCCAGGACAGATTTGTTAGTTCTTTTAGTAGTCCATGGAACTCTCGGTATTCTTCACCAACACCACAACTCAAAAGCATTGACTCTTTTTCACACGGGGGCACCTCCAAAGAAAGGCTTGGCGATCTGCTTACAAAAGGCCACATCATGAAAACCCTACGGAGTTCAGTACTACTCTGATAGAAGGTCATCATGAGTTGGAGTCAACTCCATGGCAACTGGTACTGGTATGTTTCTTGTGATCCTCAGAGCAGTCAAAGCTATTGTTAAATTGATCATAATAAAGCTTACTTAGAGAGTGTAATGATTTGTTCAGAGAAAGCAAGAGTTAAATAGTTAAAGAGCAAGGACTTTGGAACTAGATATCTGTATTCAAATCCCTGCTCTGCCACTCCCTGTAGGACCTGGAAAGTTACTTCACTTCTCTGTGCTTCATCGTCCTCATCTATAAAACACAATCTGCTTCAAAGGGTGTGACAGGCTGATTATTAAGTTCCCAAAGATGTACACATCCTAATTCCCAGAACTTGTGAACATGTCATCTTACATGGCAAGAGGACTTTGCAGATATGCTGTCAAGAACCCTGAAATGGGGAGAGTATGCTGGATTATGCAGGCTGACCCAACATAATCACAGGGATCTTCACAAGAGGGAAGCAGGAGGGCCACAGACACAGAAAGTAATGGGATGGTAGAAGCAGAGTGACAGAGAAAGACTGGAAAATGCTTTGCTGCTGGATTTGAAGATGGAGGATGGGGCCACCAGCCAAGGAATACAATAGACCTCTAGAAACAAAAAGGTAAGGAAATGGATTCTCCTCTATACTCTCCAGAAAGAACACAGACCTACTGTTTTGGTTACCTGGTGCCGATCTGACAGGAATATACCACAAATGGGTTGCCTTTAACAAACAAGAGTTTATTCTCTTACAGTTTGGAGGGTTTAAGACCAAGTTCAAAGTGCTAGGCTCTAGGGGCTAGGTGAAAACCCCTCAACCCTGGGCTCCTACTCTGCCTCCTGCTCCCGGCCCCCTGAAGCTGGAGGCTTTTCTTCACTCAGACAGTGACTGGCTGCTGAGGCTGACAAACCCAAGGTCAACAAGTACAAAGGCACAGTCCCAATGTTCCCAAACAACACGGCAGGCCACTAATTCAAGTCCAGAAAAAGTTCCAAGATCGGCAGGCGATGTTAGGCTGCTGAATGACAACTTGGCTACATGCAGGGTTCAAGTGTGCAAAAAAAAAGCTGGAGACCTTCCTCAAAGCTGCTTCTTATATACAGGAAGCAGACCACATCCCTAAAGCAGCTACTCAGCTGCTCCAGTAGATTCCACCATGGAAGTGATTGCCAATCTTACCTGGGGAATAACTACATCCAGCTGCCCAGCCACTCAATCAGGCCCTGCCAAGTTGACAACAATCTTAACTACCACACCGACTAACCTATTTCAGGACTCTGGCCTCTAAAACTGGGGGCGGGGAGGGGAGGAGGGGGGGAACCTGTGCTGTATCTAATCCACTAAATTTGTGGTGATTTGTTACAGCAGCAATAGGAAACTAATACACAAGGTTATCAGAAAGATTAAATTAGCTCATACACGTAAAGTGCTAAAAACAATTTCCAGCACCACAGAACGAGCTCTTTAAATTTTAGCTGTTATAAGCCAAGACCAGAACCTAGGAAAGACCCACAGAAGTACTTCAGGGATTAAGAAAATGAGGTGCAGAAATTTGGTAATATCTGTCTAAATTTAAAATATATATATCATTTGACAAAGAGATTCCAGTTCTAGATTAAGATATTCAACACATCTTTGCTTGTGATAACTCAAACATCCACTAACAGGGTAAAATTATGGAAAAATTCAAACAATTAGCCCAAAGGACTAATGGGCCATGTGAACCCCAGCCTCCACGACCCTGAGACCAAAACAACTAAATGGTGCCCAGCTACCACAACTGACTACTCTAAAAGGGATTGAAACAGGAATTCCTGGATAGAGTGAGAGAAAACTCAAAACCATAAAAAAGACCAGACTTACTGGTCAGATAGAGACAGTGGAACCTCCAAGCTATGATCCTTAGTCACCTTTCAAGCCTGGAACTGAACTCACATCCTTGGCTCAACTTTCAGCCAAAACACAGTCTATAAAGTGAACAGTAACATTAGGGAGATACATATCCTTAGAATGGTGAACTATACAAGATCAAAAGGGCACCATTTCCCGAGGAAGAAAGCTCAGAAGGCAAGAAGGGACAGGAAAGAACCATGTAAGAAAATGGAAAACACAGTAGGAAGTGGGAAAAATGCTGTTACATTGTTGGGATTACAATCAAAGACACAAAACAAACTGTAACTTACACTCAAATCACAATAAAAAGTTAACAAATAAATATCTGTTGCACTGAACAGTCCTATAATCAAAAAAATAAAAATAAAATTATAGGAAAATTCAACTAAATACTAGGCAGTCTTTAAATAAAGAGGTAGACCTCAATGTGCTGACAGGGAAAATTCTACAAGATGTATTCTTCAATGAAAAAAAGCCAAGTATAGAATAGCAAGTATATTAGGTTCTGTGCTGGCTTAAAAATGAAAAGGATACATCCATAGACTCATAAGTACACATGAAAAAAATTCTAGAAGGGCATGCAGTGAACTGTTAATAGTTACTGCCTCTGAAAAAGGAGACTGAGGGTATGGAATGAGAAGAAAATTCTTTTCATTGTATACCCTTTAACATTATTTTCATTTTTTACGAGGCACACATATGACATCCATTTTTTAAACATTGAAGTTATGATCTGAAATTGTCAATCAAGCAAGTATTTATGTGGTGATGCCATGTCTATCACTAATAACCAGCATAAGCCATGGTCCTTGCTCTCCGGTAGTTTACGATCTAACTGAGTTTACAAGTAGATTTGTAACAATCATCTTTCTAATTGTTTTGGACATTCACCTATCATACAACTGAACCAGACACTTTCTTAGTATTTTCCAGTTAAGACTCTCTCAGAAGAAATCACCACCTAAAAAGTGTCCAATCTATTAGTTCAAACCAATATTGCTTGTGATTAATAAACTGTTACATCCTGGGTCAGTGTTTATAAAGGGAAGAAAGGCAGGCAAAATTTTTACAAACAACCCAGTTATAGACACACTAAAACCACAAAGAAAAAAAAAGGATAAACACCATTTCTGGATAGTTGGATGCACGTGTCTTCCTCATGACACTTCCTTGTATTTTCTGAATTTTCATAAGGATCACATATCAATGTTACAAAAAATATACACCCTTCCGCACTCCACAAAAAAAAAAAAAAATCTTATTTTTGGCGCCAACACCACATCCCTGAGGGTTCCTGGTTCATCCTCAGCCTTCCTCTCACTTTACTAAAGGGAAGAGCAACCCCAACTATGACTTTCCAAAGAGATTTGAAAGCAAAACCAACAAGAATTATCCAACCTCAAGTGTTTCATTTAAGAAATGATTAGTTCACATTGTCACCAAAGTAGACCATAATCCATAATAAAGGCATTATTGCTGGCAAAGGAGGCAGGATGGGATCTAGGTCACTCTTCCATAATTCTAATAGTTCTTCTTCAGCCAACAGAGAAAATTCTGTGTTTGCAAACTATTTAGCTGACAACGGAGGTACACAGGAATCATGATGTTATTCATTTCCACAGCCTATCCAAGGAGGAAAAAATATTTAATGGACAATTTGGGAGTTTTTTTTTCCAAAAGATAACTTACATAGCCAGTCAAGCAATCTGGAGATTTCAGAAACCACCACAACTAAAAACACTGAGTTAATGTACCACATATATTTTCAACAATAATGACAAAAACAACGAACCAGTACCAAGCACTATGTGCCAGGCCATGATAAATCATTTCCATTCCTAATCTCTGAATCCTCTCAACAATCTTGAGTAGCAGAAGTGAAACTGAGGCAGAGTTTAAATAACCTGTCCATTTTCATACAGCCAGTGAGTGGCAAAGCCAAGACGTGAATTCAAGCTTACCCTCTTAACTATCACACTACCTCTTTCCTGATTGCTCCTGTCACACACTACCCTCCTCCCCAACTCACTCAAACCAAATACTCTCTAGTCATTCTCTAATCCCAGATGTCCTCACTGGCTTTATCAATCAGAAGACTGTATATGAAAGTAAGAGGCCATCTAGAGAAAACACTATCCTTATCAAAAAGCACTTTTTAAAAACTTGCCTCTCTAATTGGAGATAGCAGGCTTTCTCCTCATTGCCTAGCACTCCCACAAGACCCCATGTCAGTATGTCTTTCACTGCCCATGCATAGTCTGTCCTCACTGACACTTACTCACAACTTCACCAAGTTTCTCACTCAGAAAACTGTTCTACATCAGTTCTTCCTAAAAATAACAACAGCTACAATACACTGAGCATTATGTAAAAAGGTTCTGTGCTTTACAAACACTGTCTCATTTCATCCTCACAACAACCTAACAGACTCTGTGCCCACTTTATAGATAAGAAAATTAAGGCTCAGAGAAGTAATTCAACCCAAAGTCACATAGTCGGCAAGTGCCTAAATCTAACAACATGCAACTGAAGCCTTCAGTAGTCTTTTGAGAGCCACCTTCCAACAAGAGATCTGCTCCACTACATGAATCCCACTATACCCAAGTGCTTACCTGAATTTCTTCATTTTCGTCTACTAGGAGGAAACTCACAACCTTCTCAGTCATCTTCTTCCTCTTGGTCTCCTCATCCATGTCTTCTTCCTCCAGTGATTCCTGGACCTTAGTGACATGGTACACAGTAACTGGGTGTCTCCTTTTGTTACCCCCAGAATGAGTCCTTTTCTGGCACTCCAGGCACAAGTTGATTTTGCAGGTCTGGCACCTCACAGCTGCCCTCTGCCTAACACCAGGAGAATGCCCATTAGGGCCCTTGCAGGGGTCACAGTAAGGGATGTGGCCAGGCTTGAGCCTTATCCGCTCATGGTTTCTCAGGCGCTCCTGCCGATGGAGCTCCTCCTCACAGCGGAGACACTGCAGACTGCAGCACTCATCACACTCAAAGACAGCTTCATCTGTCCCACTGCAGGCATAACTCTCCTGGCACATGAGTCCCGGATTGAGGCCCTTCTCTGCTGGGGAAGTCTGGGCACTCATACTCAGTTGGGAATGGAAATACCCACCATGCAACGGTCACTGAGCTGTTCTCCAGGAACAAAGACAAAAGCTTTGTGTCTGAAGACTGCACAAAACTTCCACAGGGTTCTGAACACTTTAAACAAAAGAAACCAACCTTCGGTGTCCAATTATAATTCTTCACACAAATGTTTGTTTGTATTTTTAATTTTCTGCCTCCTAGATTCTTGTATCAGCAGCAACGTTGATTGGGTTTTGATCGTTTCATCCTCCATAAGGTGCAGGCAAATATGTGGTCAAAATTAACCTGAAAGTGTCTTTTATGGCTATGTGAGCGAGGTTGGATGAATGCACTGAGGTAGGCTCATTGCCCGGGCCTCAGCCACAGGTGTTAGTGATGAAAGAGAGTGGTCAGGAGCTTTTCAATAGGATCCAACCTCAAGTCAGTATTTCAGGGGATACCTAGAATAGAGGAAGGAAAAGAATTTCACTCACCTAAAAACAGAAGTGCACTTAAAAAAAATTTTAAGTGATTCAATTCTAGACCAAAACTTCTGAGGAATCCCATTCTTGCCTGTAAAACTCACACTGGCTTGTAAAGACACTGTTGTTGTTGTTGTTATGTGCCGTCGAGTCATACCTGACTCATAGCGAGCCCTCCTTGGGTTTCCGAGGCAGTATCACTACGGAAGTAGGATTGCCCAACCTTCCTTCCGAGGAGTGGCTGGTGGGTTTGAACCGCCAGCCATCTGGCTAGCAGGCAAGTGTCTTAGCCACTATGCTACCAGAGCTCCCTGTAAAGACACTAGAAATGTCTATTCAAAATAATGACTAAGGCTCCTCCTTTTGAAAACAAACACCACCTCCAGGTCCAAGAAACTTAAGAGACTTTGCTGCTCTATTTTTCAGACTGATATTCTCTTTTCATAACAGTTATTAAATTCAGGATCAAAATCACTAAGCAAACTGTCCTTGGAGGGACAACATTCTACACCCTGGATCCCATCCCATCATTAGGACGAGAAGAGAAACAGGCCTGTAAACAGCTAAAGAAAAAAAAATAATAATAAACTGTAGCTCCATCAAAGACCTGGGCAGATCTGGTTACCCCTGTCTGGATTATTTCAGTTCTAGACAGATGTCTACTAAGGACTCTAAACCTGGAAACAACAGTCACCATTTCATGCTTGAAAACAAGAAAAGAAAAAAAAAAAAACTATTGTACTTCCTTTGTCCCTTTTTTCTCTAACTGCAAAAAAAAGGAGCAACAGGAGACAGAATTCCTCCACTATGGCCAACCGCAAAGCCAGGCCTACAATGACTCCAAATAAATGATCTCTTTGTCACTCAGAGACTACCTTAAAAATAACTTCGGAAAGAAAGAAAAAGAATAACTGAGGCAGGAAAGGGGCTTCTGTCATTCCTACAATTACATTCTTGACTCCCCTTAGTTGTGTCCCCCAGCAGAGGGTAAAAGCCGTTTTTCTGCTAATCACGCCTCCTTTACAGTAATCAATCTATCAATCATCTTTTTAGATAAACAAGGAAGGCAAAGGCAGGGACTGGCAGACCTTATTTCCACCCTAACCTCGGATAGGCCCAGGCAGCTCCCAATACGGAAAAAAATCAAAACTTGCCACAATTGAGAAAAACATAAAATCTATCTTCTTTTGAACACCTCACCCCGGGTCCCCCCACCCAAGACCAAGCAAACAATCTGCCCACTCGGGTCCCTCACCTTGAAGCCTCTCTCCAGTCGAGGGTTCCTCACCCTTCCCTGCTCCCGGACACCACCACCACTACCCGAAGGGTAGGAGCGGAGCCTAGGAACAAAGGCAGCCCCCCAAAATCCCTCGCACGCCGGCCAAGCCCGGAGCCGAATCCATTGTTTATATCACCCCACCCCCACCCATGCCGCCCCCGCCCCCCCTTCCTCCCGGGTGCAGCCGGAGCCCCAGGACGAACTCTCGCCCGGCTAAGGGCCGTGCCCTTCCCTCCCCTCTCCCGTGGCGGCCCAGGGACCCCACCAAGGAGATGATCTGCCGCAGCGAAGACGCGTCTGGGGGGCCGCCGGACGTCGGTGGGGGCGGAGGCTGTTTTTCAGGGGACCGGAGGATCCATCCTCATCTTCATCTCCGCCCCCCTCCTCCTTAGCTGCCTCTTGGGCTTCCTCCTCTCCAGTGTCAGTTGGGATCAGCTGATCGGAGTGAACTTCTCCCCGCTCAGACTAACAGTGAGCAGGGCAGCCTTGGGAGGGAGCAGCGAGAGGGGTGGAGCCCGGAGCCGGAGGTGGCAAAGAAGGATGCGCACAGCCTCCTGGGAGAAATAGTTCTGCGCAGGTGCATCCTTTGCTGATTCCCGGAAGTGAAGAGGCTAAAAGGACTACAATTCCCAGTTCAAAAAAGGATGCCCTTGCAAGGAGGCGGTGGAGCCAGGCCCCTGCGCATTTCGGGGCTTGGAGTTTTTGGATTGATAGTCGTTTCTGTAGGTTTCAGTGCATTGTTTTGGGTTGTGGCTGGAGAAGGAGTGGCACTAAATAAAAGAACAAATATAATGAACTGTAGTATAGGTAGGAGATGGAGAGGCTAATTTGTTTTAAAGCAACCCTAATTACACATCATTCCCTAACACACAAGCAGACTCCATTTCTCTAATTTTATGGGGCAAAAACTGTGAAAAGACCAGAAAAAATTGATTCAAGAATATAGGTACTCTTGTGAGGATTTTGTTTTCTCTTCATGGGTGCTCTCCAAGCCAACTATTACTTTTTTTCCCTCTAAATAGTATTTTTCTCATCTTTCCTTACATAGCTCCAGGACTTCTTAATTTTAAATCATCTTGAAGTTAGGGTTTTAAATCATGTTGAAGTTAGGTTTCAGTTAAAGCATTCAGGCTATCCCCAAACAAAACCAAATTCAGCCCTCTAGCTGGCTCCGACTCATAGTCGTGACCCTATAGGACAGAGTAGAACTGCCCCCATAGGGTTTCTGAGGCTGTAATCTTTGTCTGCTAACCAGACGGCTGGCGGTTCAAACCCACCAGCCACTCCTCGGAAGGAAGGTTGGGCAATCCTACTTCCGTAAGTGATACTGCCTCGGAAACCCAAGGAGGGGTCGCTATGAGTCGGGTTTGACTCGACGGCACATAACAACAACAACAACAATCTTTACGGAAGTGAACTTCTACATCTTTCTTCCGAGGAACTGCCGGTGGGTTCAAATGGCCATCTTTCTTTCGGTTAGCAACCAGGGCTTAACCACTGACTACCAGGACTCCCTTTTTCAGGCTACAGTGCAAGCTAATGATTAACACTGTTGTCTGGCTTTTTTCAAATGGCCTCATATTTGTTCAGAGTTTTCACTGTTCTTTCCCACCCCCACCCCCAATTTGTTTCTTGGAACAATACTGATGTAATGAAAAGACCACACTAGTCTGTGATGCCAAAGGCTGAGTGCTTATTCTGGAAAAGCTCCTGACCATTGTAAGGAAAAATAAAAACTGAAAATAAGGAGTTTTAATTCTCTTCTTGAAAATAGAGGAAGAGGCTAGGGACAGATTGTCCAATAAGTAAGGTAAAGCACATGCTTCAGGCATGAACAAAACACAGGCACCGGTTGTCCAAAGCAAAGACCCATAGGTGCCAACCAGACAGGACACAAGGAAAAGTGAGCACAGCAGTAGAAGGACTGGCAGAGCACTAAATGAAATTGATACTAACTCCAGTGCGTGAGAGAATGTACTCCCCGGAAATAAAGGTCATACATGGTCACCAGGGCACCCACTCGAAAAGTTGTTTAAGCTATGGTACCTCTACCACTTCGACACCTTTGTTGACATCTGTTTCCTACAGTCCCCTCCTGTGTGACTGAAACTTCTACTTGGTGGGTCTCTTGAGAGTATACTATTTCTTTCTAATAAATGAGAGGTGGTAGTGGGCTATCCAGTCTAACTTTTGTTACATTCACCCAATAAGCAACTGGATCCAACATGAGCAGTTATTGGGCAGGGACAGACTATATTAATAGATAACAGGTCTGCAGCCAAACAACAGATAGGCCTATAAAGTGAACAATGACACTAGTGAAAAAGGGACTCCTCAGGACAATTAACCATGCGAGGGCAGCACTTGCCCCAAAACAAAGTTCAGAAGGCAGGAAGAGGCAAGCAAGAAGGACAAATGAATTCCAGGAACCCAGGGAAGAAGCAGGAAGAGCATTGTTTCGTTGAGGAAGTTGGTAACAAATGTTATAAAACAAAATGTGTATAAATTGCTGAATGGAAAATTGATTGGCTCTGTAAACTTTCATCCAAAACACACACAAAAAAAGATAAGAGGTTTCATCCATTTTGAGATAACCATCTTGTACATCCACAATGGCTTTAAGTTGTCTTGTCATAGGCAATGTGAACCAAAACATATCTTCAGACTGAACATACCCATGTATTTGTATCATACTCTTTGCAATATCTTTCATGCCTGAAAGGTATCAGCAGCAGTCTGAAGATGCAGCATCAAAGCATGAGTAGTGAGTGCCTAAGTTTTAAGTTATTATTTCAAGATGAAAAACACGCCTGGAGATCTGCAAAGGGCCCACCAATAAACATTGTATCACAAACAAATGAAATTATTTCCAATTGCCTTGTAGGTACTATTTCTTTTCACTATCTCAAACCTGAAGAACAAAATTACATGTTCCAAATCCATTTCTGTTACTTAATAATTTTCAAATATAAATTTTTGTGTTAATGTCCAAATCCAATGGTAAATTTTGTATTATAAATATTATGTTTTATAAATTTTATTTCTTTTCAATTATTCAAATTTATTTGCTACAGTAGAACCAAATTTAAAAAGTGACAATTTTATATGCAGGTGAAATGAAATTGCAACAATGAAGTGCAGCACAAAAAACAAAAGCTCAGACAGAGAAGATTAAAAAAAAAAAAAAAAAAGGATTTGTGAATCCCTAAAAAACATTTCCAAACTTAGCTTCCTTTTTAAAATGTAATCAATCAGAATAGACTTCTTCCATTGAACACTCGAGTTTGATGGGTGCAATTTTTTGTACTAGTACTACTAGTGCTGAAATTGCTAATAGCAATATGAATATAATAGAATTTGTTCCAAATTCTGCATCCATTCCATGCTATAGTAAAATAATAATAATAGTGTAGAAAATGAAACTATTTTAGAATCTGCAATTGTCACATCTGCAGACTCCATAAGTAACAGAAATAGAGATCCTGCTTTGTGGAATAATTTTGTTCATAATGATGTAAATTGTTGGCTTTAAAGACAGCCAACTGATTGCCAACATCACAGTGGACCATTTGAAAATCTGTGTCAAAAATTTCAGGGTGGCAAACAAACAAGATTCTGTAGCCAGAATATATTTCTAGGGTGTAAAGCTAATAGTAAAAATTATAACAGGGAGTGGCTACTATATTCTTCATCAATTGGCTCTGTATATTGTTTTCCTTGCAAATTATTCGGACCTAAATTGTTTAATTCTCAATTTGCTACAGAAGGAGCTGTGGTGGTAGAGTAGATAAGGCATTTGGCTGCTAACCAGAAGATCAGTGGTTCAAACCCACAGCCGCTCTGCAAAAGAAAGATGGAGCAACCTACTTTTTTTTTTTTTTTAATTGTGATTTGGGTGAAAGTTTACAGAGCAAATTCACTTTCTGTACAGCAGTTCAGTTACACTTTGTCTCATGACATTGACCACAATTCACCACAATACAACAGCTCCCCTCCCACTTCCTCCCGACAGTCACCTCTTCCCTGTATACATCCCTCCATGCACCGCTGTCCCCTGAGCTGTCTCCCTGTGCATAAGCAGCTCCCATGATTGTTCTCTCCAAGGAATGTATCTGCCTCAGGTAAATGTTCAACTCATATGCCTGTCTTTTGTTTGGCTGGAAGCCACAGGTGTGGGTTCAATTCCAGACCTGAAGGGCAGCTAGGAGCCATAGTCTCAGTGATTCCACCAGGCTCTATCAGACCAGCAAACCTGGTCCCCACCTTTTTTTTTTTTTTTCCAGATGATTTTGAGTTTTGTTCCACATTGTTCTCCCTCTCTATCCAGGATCTGCTACATAGATCCCCCTCCAAGTAGTCGGGCAACCTACTTCTATAAAGATTTACAGCCTTGGAAACCCAATGGGGGTTACTATGAGTTGGAATCGACTTGATGGCAGTGAGGGTTTTTTTGGGGGGGAGGTTTACAGATGGAATTAGTGATTGGTGCAACTCAAATATGTTTGATAAATGTGAAAACAGTTCAATTCACAGAAATTGTATGGAGTCATTTTTAAACAAAAACATGGTGCTGGCTTAACTCACGAAGTGAAAACATAAACTAACGAAGAACGTCTGTATTGGAAAGCCATTTAGCAAGACATTATTGCTGTCATTATAACAATTGTGGAATACAGACTATCCTTTTAAGGAAGAAATGAAGTATCTGGGTCTGTACAAAACGGAAATTTTGGGGGTTTACTTGAACGTATTCCTCTGTTTGATACATTTTTACCAAGTCAAATCTTAAAATATGGTAACACAGGAGACGTCAACCTATCATATACTCTAAAACAATGTGTGAAGAATTAGTAAATTTAGTAAGTGATAAAACTTGATCAACTATTTTCAGTTAAATGACTATAGCATGATATTGCAGTTTGTATGTAGATTCTACTCCTGATCTTTCTCATAAAACTTACATATTGTTTTAAGATATGTATCTTCAACAGATAGAAAACCTGCCAAATGATTTATCACATTTATGAGCTTAAAAATTCACACCAGGGAAGAAATTGCAAATCAAGAACTTGATTTATTTGAAGTATACAAAATCAATTTTTCTAAGTGCAGGGGCCAGTGCTATAACAATGTTGCCAGTATGTCAGGTATTATAAAGGCACAGAACAGAAAATTGTAGAATGTAATGAACATGCCATTTTCATGTCATATTCTGCAGGTCATTTAACCTTAGGACTTAGTGTAGTAGATTGTTGTCTGGAAGTATTTGATTTTTTTTTTCTACTGTTCAGTTACTGTACACACTTTTTGCCACCTCTACTCACCAATGGGTACTTCTTAAAACATATTTAGGCAGTGATTGAGTATGAAAATTCCTTTCTAAGACATGTTGGGAAGCGCATGTTATAGCAATGGGTACAATCCTGACATTGTACAACCAGATTTAAGAGGAGATTTTGAAAACACAACAAAACACATACTGCCTGCTTGAATAATTTCTTTTAGAAGGATCAGCACAAGGCTGGTCCCTCTGAAGCAAAAGTTAAAG